AGTATTATTTTAAGTTAATAGAAACTGCTACTGATACTTATATTACGCGCCTTATACGATAAGATCTCGAAGTCTAATTGGCTGCCATGAGTCTTCCAGTCAAATATGTTTGTAGTTAACTGGACCTTCTAGCTAACAAGGAGTTATGGCGGTACAACGTGTAGCAGCATTTCTGTAATTAAAGGATCAATCTCTGTTTTCGTTTCCTCATGCTTGCATCCAAGTTGCTTTATTCATAGAAGGAGAAGTCATAATGTGAGCTCCGACTCGATGCACTGATGGAAACTCGAATAGATTTCATTATTGAAATGTGAATTGTGTGTTGATTGAAGAAGTAGAACTGACGGGACAGACAAAATGTAAATTTTAGGTCACGGGATCGGATGACTGATGGATCTGACTATTAACATTCAATACCTCTTCTCCCTTTCTCTGATCTGCAGCTTGAATCAGGCTGTCAACGTGACCCTCTCATTGGCAGTTCGCCAAATGTACTGGGTGGCGTAAGTATTTCTCTTATCGTGTCAGCATGCAGGCGTTCACTAGTTGCATTACCGGTGTGATATCTCTACGCGTGGCGTCGGTGGGACATGAAGCCCCAGGGATAGCATAACAAGGATAACGGCTCAAGAGAAAGGAGGCAGCATATTTAGGCTGAACCAATGTTTGTTTTCGACTGATTTATCTCATTTCCTTCCTTCAATTTACTATCGACAGCGCTCCACGACTTCAAAATGACACGTCTAGGATGGCTTTCATGGGCTTTTGCTTGTTTGCCGGGCCTGATTGTTTCAACCCCCTCCACTTACCTCGAGCAAAGCATTCAAGATCTCAATATTACAAACCCCGAAGACGTCAAACACTTTGTACAGGAGTGGACTAGACCAGGCGCGATCAAGCGACTTGAGTTCGCTCCATTGGCATCCCAACTTCCGACTTGGGATCTTCCTCTTGTTCGTCGCCAAGATCAACTCGTAAAATGCTTCGGAAACGACAACGGATGCGCAGAAGCTACTCCTCAGTGCTGCGGTACCCAAGCCAATGGATGGTGCTGTGCTGACAACAGGTCTTGTTGCCGGGCAGACCCTGGAGGTAACTGCTGCCTTGAAGGACAGAGCTGTTGCGGAACTTCAAAAGATCCAGGTTGGGGTGCTTGTTGCGATGCTGATGCGACATGCTGCAATCCTTCAGTCGGGAAGCCATTTGTGAGTTATGGTGATGATTGTATTAACCATTGCTAATTTCGTCAGTGCTGTGATGAAGACCAGAAGTGCGACAATGATGCGCAAACGTGCATCAACCCCACGTGAGGCGGCCTTTAACATTCACTTGATGCTCAGCTGACAATGTCCAGAGCAACTGTAACCGAGACAACGACTTCATGGGCGACTGAAACCGACACCGAGACCGTTACGACAGATGGCACAACGACCGTGAAGACCGTGTCGACCATCGAGACCACCGTATCTGTGACGGTATCGCGAGGCCCTACAGGTGACGAACCTACCGAGAAGAATACGGCTACAGACTCGGACAGAAAACACAAGCGATTCGTCCCCGCAGCGCCTCATAAGCACCTCGACCGCGACGCTCCCGTAACCAAGACAATACCGCCGATCGTCCTCCGCCCAGCTGCAAGCCTCAATGCGCTTGCTGACGGGCTTGCCCGACGAGGAATCCCCATCCACAGACGAGCTACAGACACGGAAACAGTCTACGAGACGAAAAAGGCAACGACAACAATCACCGACACAGAAACAAAGACAGAATGGACAACAAAGTACTCAACCTCGACCACAACACATAAACAGACCGTCACGGTTTTTGTCCAAGGTCAATCCACCGTCACAGTAGGGCCGACGGGCACAGCAGCAAGTTCTTCAGAATCAGGCTCTGGCGATGGTGGTACCCCCAAAGGCACTATTATCGGTGCAGCCGTTGGTGGCGGCCTAGGCTTGATATTGATTGCCTTACTTGCTTTTTTCTTGTGGAGGCGACGACGCAAGTCTGCAAATCAGACACAGCAGCCCAGCCAATTTTATGCAGCCAACAGCGAAGCCCCTGCAACAGCACAGAAGCCACCCCCTTTCATGGCCACCACCCCAACCCCTTTGCCAGCTGGGGCACGCGACACTTGGGCCTCGAGTCCCAGCCGAAGCGAGTATTCCCAGCCGCCTGCATATCCGTCTCCCATGCCTGAATTGGCAAACACTCAGTTTGCTTATGAGATGCATACGTCGCCGCAGCGGTCGCCGCAGGAGCTGTACCATCCCCAGTACATGAGTGGTTTGGGATTGCCTGAGATGAGGGATCAGCGGAGGGGTTAGTGATATGCAGAGCGAGGTGGCAAGGTTGTAATGTAGTACAACTTGGGTGATAAGCGTGAGGCTGAAAGGTTTTGGTGTGATTGGTGCTATGGTAAAGGATTCCATGCGGGGTGATAAGACAAGGATCTGGATGAGAGCCTGATTTGGGAAGCCCTTCTTGGTATATGCTGATGTTAGAATATCTCAAAGATTTGCATATTTCCAACCGTTTCCGAGGTCTCAAAAGTGAGCGACTAATCGCAGGATCATTACTTGATCTATTACCGTACTGTAGAATGGCCATCAGAGATTAGATACCCTATTAACAACGCCAATAGTACTCGGTGTTCCTCTGTTCCTCAATTAGTGCCTTTCTTGTGCGCAGGCGCATTGGTTCAATTGTTTATTTCCCCAGGCTCTCATTTCCCCACCTCAAGGTAGTGGAGGTAACTGCAAGTAACCTCTCTTGTTAATTGGTTGATCACGTTTATCTGACTCGCATTCAATTAGGCCACCATTTGCATACACAATCACACGCGCGAAAGATTCAGCATTATCATGGATGCCAGGCAGGACGCCGATAGCCTGGCCTGGGACCAGAGCGATGAGCGCTGGGAAAAGGCTCAGAAACACGTTCGAGCATCCGCTACGTGTCGTAAAGTTGAAGCATTTGCCAGCCGAACTTTTGGGAGACCAGCAACTCTAGCCACCCCGTTGATTATTGGCGGCTTCAATGTCGTCTACCCTTTCAAAGTAGAAGGCCTCTCATCTCAAGTTCTCGTCCGATTACCATGTCCTGATCAGGCGATGTTCCCAGAAGAAAAGACAATGGTCGAGGTAGCAACAGCAGCCTGCATTAAACAACAAACGCAACTCCCTGTGCCCAAGGCCTTTCATCATGGTGTTGATGACGACATTGGACCATACATGATCATTGAGGATCTTGGCACCCGGCGTGGGATGAGCCATGCATTGGAGGCTCCCCGTGATGATCCAAACGATGCGCCCATATTGAATCGAAAAATCTCGGAAACACAGCTCAAGGGTCTATATTCGAAGATGGCGGAATGCGTCCTACAGCTTGCCCGACCGACCTTCCCACGTATCGGTGCTCTCGTTGAGCCAAGTCCAGGCACATATGAAGTACTGGGGCGACCAATCACTCTTAACATGAACAACATGTTCCAGCTCTCCAACATTCCCCCTTCCATATTTCCGTCCGAGGACACCACATACAGCACTGCTGATGAGTGGTATACCGTACTTGCCGAGATGCAGATGGCAACGCTTGTCTTTCAACATAATGACATAATATCTTCGGAAGACGACTGCAGAACAAAATATGTCGCGCGAAAGCTATTTCACAGACTTGCCAAGCAGAAGAGACTCTCAAGATTTGGATTCTGTGACGATGACTGGTCCGCCTCTTCCAAGCAGTCCAGTGCAACATTGCCGTCACCGAATAACTCGGGCTCATTCCGTATTTGGTCAGACGACTTTAGGCCAGTGAATGTACTCATCAATGATGAGAACGACGTTGTCGGGGCGATAGATTGGGAGTTCGCCTACGTTGGCCCATCCCAATTCACGCTGGAGCCACCATGGTGGTCATTACTTGAGGTGCCCGAGATGTGGGATGACGGCATTGAAGACTGGGCAAGTACATACGAACAACGGCTTGAGACCTGGCTATCCGTTATGGAAGAGCTTGAGAAGAAGAATGGTTCAGATTTGCTGCTTTCGGCCTATATGAGGGAGAGTTGGGCTACTGGTAGATTTTGGCTGAATTATGCTGCTCGAAAGAGCTGGTCCTTCGACGCCATATATTGGAAATATCTAGACGAAAGATTCTTTGGCAAGAGAAAAGAAGGTATCCCAACAGAGGAACTATGGAAGGCCAGAGTGGAGTTGTTAACGGAGGATGAGCGAGAAGCGATGGAGGTGCTGGTAAAGACAAAAGTGGAAGAATCGAAGGATCGAGTTCTGGCAGACTGGGACGCTGAAAAGGCAAGACAGCACCTATCTTCATTTTTAGTAACATAATGCAAGTATGTCATTTCTCCCAAGATGGCTGTTTCACGAATCTAGTGGAGAGAATATATATACACTGTGTGCTATTCTTTAGCCCTGAATATTGATTATGTAGAGGATGATTGTGATCCGGATTCACCACCCTCCATGTATAATATCTTGAGATACTTTCAAGTAGCGACCTATTGATATGATTTGAACAAGTAACTAATCAATTCTGAAAGGTAACGAGATAAAGATCTATTTGTACTTGATGATGCCTTTGTCATCGCCATTATAAAGAACCAAAGAACCAAAGTGTCTAGAGAGTAAGCCAATATTAGTCAAATATTGACTATCTGATGCCAATTTTAGCTACCCTAAGTTTTTTTATGTAACGTGCGCTTTTGGCCATTCTAAACCTTTTGCAAAATCAGGTAAATCTCTCAAACGGCACTCAATATCTGCAAGAAGATATTTGCTCCAGCCATGGAGAAACCAAAAGTTGCGGTCTACTACGCCCAAGATAGGCGTATAATAAGCGAGTATCAGTAATGCGTATGGCCTTAGCTGTTTCATATCAGCCATAAAGGCATCCGAGAAATGATGCGGCCATAGGACTACATTCCCCAGTTCCACGTTGATACCTGCCATCGCAACGTTCATAGCCGTCACGCGCAAGCAGGAAAGGGCATCTTCGGCTTCTGCGATATGTATCATATCCACGTGTCTGTGTAGAAAGTCCTTCAGATGGTTAATCGCTTCGAAGGTGTCGGCCGGGAGCGGTGAACCCTGAAGCGAAGGCGTTCTAAGCATGAACTAACATTAGTACTGGATATACCGATGGGCATCAGGAGGGCGACCGACGGGATTTTGAGCGGATCATCATCTCCAGTGAGCCATGAGGATCTCACGAGTGGGAATAGATCCGACTTGAGCGCTCGGTCGTAATGCGACTTAGTGGTCTCACGCAACCCCCGGCAGACAAGAAACAATTCTAGTGTGGCCTGTATAGGATTCTCTATAACGTGCCTCGGCGAGCGCGTAACAGGCACGGAGCACATGTACAGGATAAGAATCAACGAGAAACAGAATACTGGCTTGCAGTTATCGTCTGTAACTGCCAACAAGTCTTTCCTAAAGTCAGCTTGTCCACGCGTATAATGATACGCGGCAAGCGTTAAGTAGTTATCAGCCTTGTTATATAGTAAGTAAGCCTTATGCAGGGCAGATATCGCCATTATGCCATGCATTACGTAGGGATGACTGTAACCTTGCTGAGGGATAGCCGTCTTCCAAACACTGCGCAAATCATCTTGAAGCCCCATGGTTAAGTATGTGGCAGTGAGAAAATGGTGTATAAGCTCGAAGTCATGACGTCGCAAATCCGATAGAGCAGTGTCAGTAGTTTGCTCAGATATCGGTAGAGGGCTGGTGTAGACTGCATGGAGAAATACATCCGCATGGTCTTGGGGAGCGTGCGTATCGCCGCAGTCGAAGCTCGAAGCCAGTTTGCAATTATGAGGGCTGCTTCTACAGTGCGACGCATTTGCATTGGCTATTGGGCCTTGCAATCCAAGTCTTTTCCTGCCCTGTCCACAAGTTGGACAAGCCGATGGATCCGGGTATGAGAAGCTACAAAGAGTGTCATAACGTGTGCAGTTGAAGCACGAAGGGCGCTTTTCGTCGCACTGCAGGAGTTGTCAGTATTGGAGACGAAGCAAAAGGTAAATATGGTACTTCGGCAACCTTTACTTTCCGGCGTTTACATTGCTGACACCCGGCTCGGGATTTTGTATGCGCCCGCCGAGTCGTCATATTCGCAGATTACGAGAATAGCGACAATTGAGTATCTTTGGTTCGGGCAGGGAACGACACGGTTCTAAAATGGAGTGAACAAGAGTAATGAATCCGAGAAGAGCGAAACTTTAGCTGTTGCAAGAGCCCACCGCTCGCGCTAAGCGTTGCTACTTGGCTTACGTAAATGGGTCTGACGCCAGTAAATCCATTAATAGCGACCCGACACCTCCGAAGCGTTGTGGGGCTACGAGTTATACTCGCTTTAGGTACGAGACTTCGCCGAGTAAGCAGTGTGCTACGTACTGCTTTGGGAATCCAGATGATATATATTGGGCGTCCTTTTTGGATGTTGATGTTTTTCTTACAGATATGTGGTTAATGACATTCTTTTCTCCCTTCTTCTCTCTGAGCTAATGCTCCCTTATTTATCCATCTCAAACATACACGATGCTCTCGAAACTTCCCTTTACTGCCCTGCTCGCCGCTCCCTTAGGTCATGTCTTGGCGCGGGCAACTATTGATACTTCTGATTGCACCAAGATTACTCCTGAGTGTCCTATAGAATACACCACGTACGGTTATTATCCGAACCTTGGTGGCAATGTATTCTTTCTCCTCTTCTTCTCATCTCTTTTCGTTGCCCAAGTTTATCTGGGAATACGCTGCAAGACATGGTCCTACACAGCAGCTCTCGCTACCGGCACTCTATTCGAAGCGCTTGGATATGTTGGTCGCTTGATGCTGCATCAAAATCCATGGTCCTCGGGTGGCTTCATCATACAAATGCTTTTCCTCATCGTCTGACCATGTTTTATTGCAGCTGCCATCTACCTCACCCTGAAGCATTTCATCATCTATTGTGGCCCACAGTATTCTCCGCTCAAACCAAACTTTTACCCATGGATATTCGTGGGCTGCGATGCCGGGTCGATTGTTATTCAAGCTATCGGTGGCGGCGTGGCGTCTGCTGGGACGGGCGGTGGGAGGGATAGTGTTGCTGAACTCGGCAATCATATCATGGTCGCGGGTATTGTCTTTCAGGTTGTCACGATGGGACTTTGTGGTTGTCTAATTGCTTTCTATATCTTTCGATATCAGAGACGCCACGTTCGACGGATGCAGGGTACGAGTCAGTATGAGACAAGCAAGGCTAACGGCACGGTATCTCGTCAGAAAGTGATGACCTTCGCTATCGTTCTCACTATCGCCTACTTCCTCGTGCTTATACGCTGCATTTACAGAATACCGGAGTTGGCTGGCGGCTGGGGAAATCACCTTATGCGTATCGAGAAAGAGTTCCTCGTTTTGGATGGAATGTAAGTATGGCACTGAATAAACAGGTCGTTCGTACGAAAGCTAAGTTGATTTGCAGGATGATCGCCCTCGCCAGTTTGATCCTCACGATTTACTGGCCCTCTTGTTATTTTCCGCCTTTCGCCAAATTTCGAGTTGACAAACATCTACCGCTTGCTTCTGAGAATATTGCCCTGTGAGGCTGTGATACGAGTCGATGCCTCATAAGTGCTTACTTAGTTTTTCTGGAAATGACATTACTATAGCGTGGTGTATGGACCAACTTGGTTACCTGTTACTGTCATATTAGGTATATTTATCATTAGATTTATACGTCAAGACTGTTTGCAACCTCCTTCGACTTTATATATTGAGCTTGCTGTATATAGAAGCTATTTCCTAAGCTAGATAATTATTGAACCACTGCAAAGCCTGAAAGAAAGCCTGCTCCTTCGCAAATCGCTGAGCGGGGTCATCAGGATCACCACGGACAGCAAAGCCATGTTCAACACCAGAAAATAGGTTAATCTGAAATGGCTGGCCTGTCTCGATCAAGATTTCCTCAGATCGGTATCGAAGCTCAGCGGGAAAGATACTATCAGTCTGAGCTGCAGCAATAGAAAGAGGTCCGGTAATCGCAGCAAGCTCATCTTCAGAGATAAATGAAGGGTGGCCAACATAGCCAACATCAATACCCTGCTTATAGTTGCGAACAACATACTGATACTTGATTAGCCAAGTGTTTTCAAGGGATAGTCATGGCCTTACCTTAGCGCCAAAGCAATATCCTACAGCCCCAATCTTAACTGTGCCCTGCTCCTTAAGTATCTCCTTGAGAACCTTGATAGCCTTGATGACGACGGGGTCGACTTGAGCCGGTGTGTGAGGGTTGTTTCCATTAGCACCGTTATAGATCCATTCCATAATATCCAAGCCCTCAGGTATAGGATAAGGCAGGACATCACCATTGAAGAGATCAGGAATAAGGGTAGTATAGCCATTGGCAGCAAATTGGTCGGCCATAAGTTTACTGTTATTCCACAGGCTAAGGACATCTGGAAGATATAGAATTCCAATGCCCTTATGGGCAATACCCCCCGGCGCAATTGCGAGATAGGCTTCGGTGTTGTCATCAATCTTGATAGACTTGCCAGTGGGTTGACCTCTGAAACAGATGTCAGATTTAGAGGGTACTGACTTAGTTTCGGATCCTTACCTGTGGAGGGTTCCCACGGTGCAGCACTTTCCCGGTGGGTTAGAAGCAATTGTGATAGATGTTGCTTGTATTGATGAAGAATAAAGGTCTTAAGAGGAGGATGGTGTTCTGAAAGTTAAGTCGGAGGTCATTTGTGTAATTTATATCCTCTGGGCCAAGCAGACCTTGGCTGGTTTTTAAGCCATCTCTGTTGAAAGACGTATACTAATTGGCAGAAACAAGGGTAACCTACCATCTGAATAGGCATGGGTTGAGTCGTCACGCCGGTCCGAGTTTGTCTCGCCGACTTCGTTGGTAGGCATTGATGGAGTGCGTCACCCCAGCCCGACTTTTTCTCACCGACCCCATGTACTAAGGATAAGTAGTAATTTGTTCAGCCCAATCTTTGTCCGTGCACAACACTCCTACACGCCCGTCAATGGCTAATTCACGCAACGCTCGGCTCACCGAAAGCGACGTGGACCATATTGGGTAGGGGATGTGAGCCGACGGTTTGGCGAAACGCCCACTTTCAATGAAAGTGGGAGTGCCAATGGTGAAGAATCCATATTATAGGCATCGGAGTCATGTTAAGGCGCTTGATGAGGTGCGTCTCTTGTTCCCGCCAATCCGGGACGCCAAGGCCTTCGATAGGTGCCCTGAGAAAACCGTAGAAATCTTTGCCTCTCTCGGTATCATTATCGACAGGGTACACCTGATTCTGCGAATCCACTTCCTTAAATTAGATGTATTCGCCAAAGAGACGAGAGTTTCTCCATTGGACAAGGCAGGCTGGGTAAAATTGCTATTGTGATAAATGGTGGACTGGCCCCGTGGACCTTTCCTAATTCCGATATACTGCGGCTAGGAATTGATAATATGGTGACTAATCCTCTTCCCTGCTTTTTTCCCACCATGTGCTTTTCCCTACCAGTACTTGTCCACGGCATCTGTTACAATGTCCCAGTCTTCAGAAAGAACCCTCCCAATGGATAGGACCTTAATATTGTATTCAACTGTGACCAGCCTTGAGTAGTTCACCCGACTCTCCTCTCGAATGATATCGTCAGGCTCATGCAATGCCACACGGATAGGGGCAAGGCCAAGTTCGGGCTCACCTGGTAAAAGGGTAGGTCTTTTCCCAGTTTCATGAACAATCCCATGACAGTTTACTCCCCCGTACCCATCCTTGGAACTGATCAGATTCCAAGAGCCACTGGCCGGTACCAGGCTGAAGTCGCTTCAAATGATCTTCTTGGTCTGACGTGAAGTTCATTGGTGTAATCCAATCGAGGATTTTGCGTCGTTGATCTGCCGTCTGAGCATTACCAAGATTGTCTAAGCTACCGAAAACTATGTCTTGAGTGGTCTGAAGTGATGTGCTCAATCTTTTAAGTTGATCCTTTTGGTGATCCGAATCGTGTTTGAGATTTTGCATCAGCTCGATCAAACGTTTGTGGTTTTCTTCGGCTGTCTGAATGAAGCCCTTCAGTGGGTGTCTAGGCCTAAGAGTCAGCTAATTGTTGTGACTCTGGGAGAAGTGGGGTAAACTTACCGGCTGTCATTCTCCAGAGCCAGCTGCAAAAGGTCTTTTTCGCGTTGTATGGCGGAAATCAACTCATTGACATCTTTCTCGTTGAAGGGCCAAGCCAAGGAAGAAAATACGTTGGTCACCCCTTTTTTCGGGTCTAACTTAACCTTGATTGACTCAAATAACGTCTCAAACCGCTTGAAAGGACTGTGTGGTCCTTCAAGGAGTGAAATACGTAGTGCACGTGTTGGGTCTGGTCGCTCGTTCTCTAGAATGTCCTTCAACTGGAGGAGCATGTCCTCGCAGCCACGAATTTCCTCATGGAGCCGCCTTTGTTGTTTCGTGGTTCCCTTGGCGCTAACCAAATAATGTGCCACTACAGTTGGGAGTTGTAGAATAGCGATGATGGACGCGGTCGCACCTAAGGGATCCATTGCGCATGGAGGCTTCCGTATTAAAAGCCAGATGCATCCAGTTCTGGTTGTATTTTAGCAAGAAGCCGATGACGCCAGCTTGTTAGGGGCCTGGAAGCAGCTTTTTTGTACTGGGTAGGCTGTGGGGAGACTGCGCCCTCAAGACGGACAGCACGAGACCGATGAAAAGGCGTAGGATGCCTTTCAGAATAAAATGCTTTTCTTCTGGGTCCTCTTTTATAAGTAAGCTAGGTCAGTGTGGCTCAACAAGGCTTTCTATAGGTCCGTAGTCAATCAGCTCTGGGCTGTCAGTGAGATTTTGTATTTCCCGTAAAACATTGACCATGGGCGGGTCTACTACATCACTCTAAATCGGGCACATCTAGGACTTATGACTTTCGTTTTATGCTCTGGCTTGGTGCTCAATAAATAGATATGCATGAAGGAGAAATGTCTGCATGGCGGCGTTATTAATCAGTTTGACCAAGTACATTCACAGGACTTGCAGTATAACTGCCAGAACTACTAGAATTAGTATATTTGAGAATGTAGTTTTGGATGCTACAGTCAATTCTAGTAATTTGCTGAAGCAATCGTGCTGTGCTAGGAGCCCTAGCATGCCGCCCCTTTACCGGTTACAGGCAGTGACAAGCAGCTGCAAGTTCTTTTTCACCACCATGTTTCGTCAGGCCAAAGGCCCGAGTAAGGTACTGTAGGGCATGTACAAGAAAGGAAGCAGCACCTACACCTCGCACGTGCGTGCGCTGACACAGCACAACACTGCTGGCAGGTGCCTCTGGTTCTACCCCTGCGAATAGAAACTTGACTCTGACAAAACCTTCGCTCCTACACTTCTCATCTCAAAACGCTGTGACCCTTTTTCGATCACTTTATCTATCTGCTGGCGCCGGTGGCCAGCTTTTCCGATTCACTCCAGATTTAACTACTCCTCGAGCCTCATCATGGAGAAGAAAGAGCGCATCCTCTTGCCAACCAGTGTCAAGCCTATCGCATACGAGATCAGGCTCGATCCTAATTTCGACAGTGAGGAATTTGAAGGCCGCGTCAAAATCACGTGAGGCGCTCCAGGAAACATCGGCGCGTTGTGTGCTTCTGAAGTGCTAACAAACTCTTACTCACAGCTGCGCCGTACTTGAGACCTGTTCATATCTTGAACTGCATTGCAAGTCAATCAAGATAAACGAAGCACGCGTCAAGTTCGAGAATGAGTCCTGGGACGTCGTGGAAACACTGAGGTACGTCCAAATCGGGAACGCTACCACAATCAACATTCATTAACACGCTGCGATGGCAAAGCTATAACGAAGCACGTGAGACTTTGACAATCGGACTGCCCGAAGAGATCCCCGCTGGGGACCAGACTGAACTCAAAATCATCCTTTCTTACACCGGCAAGTTTCGCAGGGATTCGACTGGGCTCTACCAGGCGAGCTATGAGACACACGATGGTGCGAAGTATTGCATTGCGACCACAGCGCAACCACCGACATACGCGAGAGAGGTAAGAGTCACTGGAGCTAGGGGCATTACTCTGCGACGATGACTGACTCCTCATAGGTCTTTCCATATTTTGGCGGACCTCTCACGAAAGCCGAGTTCACCCTTTCCGTCGTGGTAGACAAGTCTTTTGTCACTGTTTCGAATATGCCTGTGGAAACCACTGTGACCTTGGAGCATTCTTCCAAGAAGATTGTAGCCTTTCGAAAGAGCGTTTCGATGCCGACATGGGTGAGTGCCACCCCACAAAATGCCAAACGCGTGGCCTGACTGTCAAAGCATCTCTGTCTAGTAGCCGGACCCCTGGCCGAGGTGAAATGCACCAACAGCAGGATCCCCTTGTCTGTCTTTTGCCCTCTCGGCACTGAAGAGCAGGCTACCTTTGCAGTCGATGTCGCAGCCAAAGGACTTCAGCTCTTCGAAGACTGCTTCGACCTACCATACCCGGTCCCAAAGCTCGATTTGATCGGCGTTCCAGAATTCTACACGGGCGTGATGGAGAATTGGGGAGCAATCATCTTCAAGACTACATACTTTTTGCTCGACCGAGAAGACTCTACTCTAGCGAAGAAGCAGGAAGTCGCAGTGGCAATCCTCCGTGAGATCTCCTACATGTGGTTCGGTAACCTGGATAGAGCCCTGTGGATCAAGGAAGGTTTCGCTACATTGATGTCGTGGTACGCTGCAGACAAGATGTTTCCAAGCTGGCATTTCTGGGATTCCTACGTCGCCAATACCCTACAGGACGTGCTCAACCAAGACTCTTTTACCAGCAATCATGCAATCGTCGATACGGAGCAGATCGATGACGAGATCCTTTTTGAGAAGGGCTCGTGTATCCTTAGAATGCTTCTAAACAATCTGGGCGACACCAAATTCTTCGACGGCGCGAAGCTGTATCTCAGACGTCATGAGTTCCAGTTAACCGAGTCGAGTTGCCTTTGGAAGGTCTGGGAGGATGTGACCGGCGAACCTGTGGCAGCGAGCATGAGTGTCTGGACCAAGGAGGCTGGTTTCCCAGTCGTTCGAGTGTCTGAGCGTCTTGACGAGAGTGGCAATGTAGCAGGTGTTCGACTCTTCCAGCAACGCTTCGTGGCCAGTGGTGTGGCAACGGAAGAGAATGCGGCATCTGATACAATCTATCCACTCAAGATTGTAATTCGGCAAAGACACGGCGTTGAAACAGTTGACATGAACACAAGGGAGCTGGTTCTTCCCCCCTCTGACAGTCTATTCAAAGTCAACGCGGACCATGGGAGCTTCTTCCGAACCTCTTATTCACACGAACTACTCACTCGTCTACTCGAGGAGGCGTCAAAGGGAAATCTCAGCGTGCGCGACTGCATCGGATTATCGTGCGACCTGGAAGCTTTGGTTGCCGCGGGAGTGAATAGGACCAGCGAACTGCTTGACCTCAACATCAAGTTCGCTAAACTAAACTCATTCTACGTTTGGGAGATGGTCCACCGCAATCTCAGATCCATCCAGTCTGTCTACAAGTTTCACGGGCCTGAGCTGAATGAGGCCCTTCGAAAGCTGACCAGGGACGTAATCGGTCCCAAGTCTGAGGAACTTGGGTGGACAATCTCGAAAGACGATGACGACAGCCTCGTCGCGTTCAAGGCATCAATGTTCAGCGGCGCGGGCCTCGCAGGATACTCCAGGTAAGTTCAGTGTCCTTTCAGCTTTATAAGCAACTGACAGTCTTCGTGCAGTATCGTCTCAGCGGCAAAGGAACTCTTTGCGGAACGCATGGCTGGCGATGAGAATGCAATCCCAGGATCCCTACGACGAGCAGTCTTTGGAATAGTCGCAGCCCATGGCGGTCTCAAAGAGCTCCAAGGTCTCGTTGAGCTCTGGAAGAGTTCTTCCAATGAGGACGAACAGTATCTTGCCTTGCAGTGTCTCGGACGGGCACCCAATGCTGAGCTTATGAAATGGGTTCTTAGCCACCTGCTGACCGACACTGTCAACAACGACGACGTAGGTTGATGTACATATACACAGATAAAGGTGAAGCTAACGGGGGATTAGATGTTCTCCCTCACTTGGGTGGCAGGCAATACTGCTCACGGGGCGGTTGAGCTTTGGGAGTGGACTAAGCAGAATTGGGAGAGGGTTGAGAAGGAGGTTCCGATGGACATCGCGGCTCTGTTCCTTGGAACTGCTCTGGAGGGGCTGCATACTAAAGATCAAATTGAGGACGTGAGAGCATTCTTTGGCGCGCGCGAAGAGAAGATTGTGATTGACCAGAACTTGGAGTACATGGAGAATCGGAGGTCATGGGCTGAACGTGACATCTCCGATGTTCGTTCGTGGTTGGAGGGTCATGGATATCTGTGAGTTGAAGTCAGCTGACGTCGTGAACAAGGGCCGACGAATGGCTGTCAAGTTGCTAATCGTCCATGCTTTCATATTTCATAGTGGATTGATTTACTAGATACTAGTTAAATCGTATAACTACAGGAAGCAAGGCTGCTTTGAGCTTGTAGTAATCCTTCTGCTGTTGAGTCGATTCCACGAACAATCATTTCACACCTAGCGGTTTCCTCGTTCCTTTGCGAGCTTTTGTATGAACTAAGCAGATGCGGCAGGCATAGAGCAAGCAGGTCTTCTGCATGGGAAGTGTATACGTGAGCACAAGCATGGCCTTGCGGCCAAGTCCTTTTTTGTTCTGTGTGTTACAAGCAAGAAGGTGGTGTAACACGAAAGAGGAGTTGTCACATTCACTTCGCCGTGAACCGACCACGTTTGGATGCGACGGCACTTCTTAGAGGAGTCTTTAGTGAATTTCAGTAACTTTTGACACTGAGAGAGGACGGACTGTGCAGTTTTGTAACAATCATCTTTATGAAACAGGTGGCAATTTCTTGAATTAACTTGGTGTTTGGGGGTGCGCACATTTGAGCAAGCACTGCCAGGCACTGCAAGCGACCGACATACATACAGCGCGTTTATCAAAAAGCAAACAGAAGAGAAGGCTGCAGCGTTATTATGACATCATTCACCGCCGTGCGGTCTGCTTCCTTCTTTTCTTCTCCTCCAAAACGTCAACAAAGTCCTCACCCCATCTTTTCACCTTCACACCTCACCACCAAGCCTCATCAATCGAACCCAAGGCTCGCGACGATGCGGCCTCAACCTTACTCTTTTCTCTTGAAGTCGGTAGTGTCTGGAGAGTTCAGTGACTTCAGCCTCACTTGCAACGATCACGACTTCAAGCTTCACCAGGTGGTTGTCTGCCCCCAGTCGCCTGTCATCAAGGCTGCGCTTCTCGGCGGCTTCAAGGTGCGCCCCAGAGGCCTCATCCACCCGCTTTCACTAATTCTTTGACCAGGAAACAACATCGAAGGTGGTCGCCGTCAACGAGTTCGATGTCACCGCCGTTCGGAGCATGGTCACCTTCCTTTACACTGGAGACTACGACCCAAGAACCGACAAGCTCCAGATGCCTCTCCAGTCCGACGACGATGTAAAGAACGAGGAAGCCGAGATCCATGACAGTCAGGGGGACAGCATGTCGGAAGACTCTGAGGCGTCTGGACCTGAGCGTGAGAGGACTACCGAGGATATCCTCTTCCACCTACGCGTTAACGCAATCGCCGACTACTACAAGATCGAGAAGTTGGTCAAACTATCCACTACCAAGATTGGCACCATTTTCGAGATTGATCAGGACTTCCGGATCTTTCCCACCGTGATCCAGGAGATGTCTGTCTCCAACAGGGAGACGGATCTCGAATCCATCATCGCCTCCGCAATGGCCAACTGTGTCGAAGAACTCACCGCATCGCAACGCCTTCCAACGCTCGACCTTGAAAACAGCCTCGCTATTGGAATAATCGAGGCTTGTGGTAAACGGATTCAAAAGCTCGAGGTAGAATTGAGTGATGCTTATGGGCTGATGAATTCGTACAAATCCGCAAGAGACACGCAACAAGAAACCAATGAGCTTATGCTGGCAAAGTTCCAAGCCCTCATCGCACTGCTGAAGAGCAATTCTAGATGCCGCCATTGCAGCAAAGAATTTGGGTGCTACATTGAGGCACCAGGGTCCAATTTTAATCAGGGAACTTCTTACGTTCTCCGTTGCGAAACCTGTCACTGTCGCCATACATAATGTGAGTTTGAATACGTCTCTGTCCCGTTACGCAATTTGACACAGTTGGCTAACACAATGAAACAGCTCATCCGTATGTCAGGGCAGTGTAAGGCGATGATAAAGTCCAGGGATTGGTATGCGATGCCGTGGCCTGGATCGCGGAGTGCAAGCCTGTAGTTAGATGAATGCCAAAGCCCTTTCTCGATGATAGATTATTCTCTACGCCGTGAAGTAAATGTTCACTCCTAGTCACTTGTCTAGGTACTAATTGGCAGGCTTGATGCGCTATCCGAGTCAACAGTTACCATGTAAATGCTCCTAATCTAAGCTTTAGACAATCTTGACAAATAAGTCTAATTTATAATAACATTGTAGAATTTTATTTAAGCCTTAGGATTCTTACTCAAGGTTATTGCTATATAAATTAGAATAATCATAGCTGGCGGTAGCATTATCGCTATGGCTTACCGTATGAAGACTATTCCCTTACGGATTATGGGCAGTGAGCGCCACTTAGTAGCATCTTGTTAACTCCCTCTTTAACACATTCAGCCAGCGATCTACGTAGGGTTGGTTATTGTCTGTTGGTTGGCATATTCGATCCCCATAAAGTATAAACTGGGCTCCAGTGTAACGAATGGCAGATGTGATGAAGTTGAGTTCTCCTAGACTGAAGGATGACTTCATATTCAACATATATGGCAGCATATTACAGAGAGGCCCATGGTATACCAAAATACAGGACACTCCATTGAACTGTTAACACTAAATGAATATAGGCCCAACTCCCGATGATCCCCATGGAAACATGCCCTTCCTGTAGTTTGGCTTTCCGCTACCCATTAGAGGTAGACACACTCATCTACTCCGACCGAGTTACTGTAGAACTGTCAAAGGCTTTATCAGCCTTTCCACTGCTCTCGCAGCCAATACCCCAGGGTCCGCCAACGCTTCCTTGAGTTCCTCTCTCTCTCACAATCTCTGGAATAGAACACTTGGCAAACACGGTTCTGTATCCAGACGCATAAGATAGTAAACGAACACTGCAATTACATTCTCAGCCTGTCTTTCAATCCAACCGAACAGTGGGCCGAGTCTCCCAAACGCGGTCAGTCCCGCAGATGTAAGGAGCAGCGTGTCTTAAAAGATCTGGTGCCGTAAGAGACAGGCGGTAGCGGCCCATGACGGCGTAGTTTAATAGCTGCTCTAGGAGGTCTTGGAGGGTGCCAAAACGGAATGAGAAGGCTGTCAGAGATATCCACTTGAGTAGTGACCGTTGGCCGCTGGGATCATCCATCAAGAAAACGAGTGTCTTAGCGGCATGTAGAGGAAGAGGGCCGTTATCCTGTTCGTAAGCGCAACAGTTCCCATCTACCACAATGAAAAATGTCTATACCATAGAAGGCATTTGAACATAAAGTGATACGCACTCATCTATGCCCAAACTATATAGCAGGCAAAGGATCAACCTGTTCTAAAGTATATCTTTCTGTAAGAAGACTGTCCTGCAAGGCCAAATTTTCCCATTCGCGTCCGGATATTGGTACACGTTCTCGGCTGCACCAATCAATCTATAACCCCGCCTTTCATACCAAGCCTGAGTTGGAATCTGCATTAATAATTAGCCTTTCTCATAAGTGGTTCCTCAAGACAAGGAGCTTACCTTGAAAGCTCCTCCATAGTTGGCAACTGCAAACTCCTCATCTGCCTGGTCTTCGTGGTGCACAGTGTCCAACAGGAGATACCTAGCGTTGAGGGGCTCCTCGATGGCCATGCGTTCAGCGATGTTCATAGCAGCTCCGCCGATACCTAGACCTTGAAGTGTGTAAGATACATATAGACTCTTGACCCAGTATGTACCAGATTTGGGAATGTTCAGGTCGGCTCTTTCTGCATAATCTGAGATATGGGTGTCGAGAGCGACGTGCCCAACAGGATGGAATTTTGCGTCGGTGGGAACTCGCGGTTTTCCGAGTAGCGTCTCGCTTGAGTCAAGGATTTCTTCTGTCTCCTACAAATCATGAGTTAAAAGTTCGGATTGACTCCTCATACCGGAACTACCTTGGGATAAGCCTCAATATGCATGTGGAGGTATTTCTCGCGCTGTGGTTCGTCCTGTGCAAAGATCTGAAAGAGAATTAGAACGAAGATACATTAGAGTGGAGTAATATAGGACTAACAATCCAGTAAACGCATTTCGTCCCGTTAATATGTCCATCTTTCCATACAGTCGGTATAAGCGACGCTTGCCAGCCACAGGCTATGCGCTGCTCAACCATGCGCCTCACATGCTGAGGCGAGTTTGGATCCCATGGGATAAGAGTGACGGTCGGCTTTGCCATTTCGAGACTGATGGCTTTGTTGTGAAGACAAGAGCCTAATAATGCGGATCCTTTGGCTTCCAGTATTCCAAGGCCCTAACCCGTTCATAAGAGTTACAGCTGTTGATTTAAATATAAGAAACGAGCTTTACTTTACATCCATTGGTAGAATAATTCTTATACACAAGGCAAAAAATATCGCCCGGAAAGTTGTGCTATTTCAAGACTTGTGTTATTTAGGTATTTATTCCTTATTAGAGACACGTAAGCATAGTTAGCTTGGTAGTCTGCGTTGTATGGTGGCTGTTGTGACCATGTCCTCATGTCAATCGCGCCCTAGTGTAAAGAATAGAGGGGCTGCGACCATGCTTATGCAGATGAGAACTGCCAACAGGAATCTCCAAATTATTCCGGTGGCTACGCTTGGGCTGTATTTACCAAGAAAGAGGATCAATTAATAAAAACACTCTGTCAATCATATCAACTCCTGCCAGACATGCTCAAACGTGAGGGAGACCCTCAAAAGCAGTGATTTCCCATAGCCAACCATTGGCATCATCAACATCAGCACCAAAGTTCGTATGTCCGTCCATCTAGTAAACTGGCAACATTGAGTATTTCGTTCGGCGAAATACCCTGCTCCCCAAGAACAGGAATGCGGTCAATTTCTTCGTCTTGGAGCCGAGGCATGATATCTCGCTGTTCAATGAGGTGCAACATATCATGGAGGCGCTCAAGTCCTTGGCGCCGAAATTGCGCAGGGAGATTTCCTCCAGCGATCAGAGCGTCAAGAATAATTCGGGTTAACTCAAAAGAAGACTCGCTGGCTGCATCTGGGAAGGGCTGGATAGCGGATATAAGTGCCAGGACGAATCCAGCCGAGAATGCGTGGTCGAGATCGAAGGGGAGAAAGAGCTCTTAAAAATGTTAGATTGTCTTCACTAACAGTATGCTATATGTGCATATACCTAGTAGGTCCTGTGACTGGAGTGTAGTCAGAATGCGGAGTGATTTGTGAGCCGAGTCGTAACAGGTCCTGACCAATGCCTTGACAGGCTCGGCAATCTCACAGTTGGCATTGGTATCATGTCTGCTCATTTCCAGCTTGTCTCGTAGAATACAGATGAGAAGCGGCCTTGTAGCAAGGACGATGCACTGGTCTAGCTGTTAGTCGGAACCCATGCGGAGTAAAAGCTATATAACGTGACTTTCCTGGTGATAGCATAGGTTCAGGGTTGCAGAGACGCGCGATAGTGGGCTTTGGTTGTCCAGCTTCAGATCAGGCGCTGAGTTTAGCTCAACTCCGAGTGCAGCAAGTTCCCTCAAAACAGACATTGTGTTTTTCGGGAACGAGACATCTAATTTCCCATCCATACCATAAATAGCTAATGAATCCGTCAGCTTCCGAGTCAACTATTACGCGTTAAATAATACGGACTGTTGAGGACTTTGGTCTTGAGCCTTGATAGCTTGATGTGCATCTCAAGTGAGCTTGATCTTCGAGGGGTTGTCTGATCTCCTGGGATTGGCACGGAAATATCACTATCCTGAACAGAGCTTGGAGCGCCCATTAAGGATGAGAATTTGCGATCGAGGATGTAGAGTGTCCACCATGCATTGCGATATCGCCTTATTTCAGGGTCGTCAGAGGATTCTTTGGCAATGTCACGGTGTAGACCTTGACTGAGTGCTATACGAAGACCCATTCCAAGCTACATAACACCAGTCAATACGGTCTGTGATCGGAAGGTGGAGGTAACTCACGTAGACGTAAGCGCTGTTGCGGTGATCAACAGATTGGAGATACAAGGCAAGCCCGCAGCATACTTCGATCGACAGAATTGGATCTATGTATAGTCCGTAGGTATCTGGGAATAGCTCCATGGCTTTCATGAAGTACTCACTCCCCGGTGAGCCAGCTTTTGACATACCACGGGTGAGTAGTCCTTTACCCAGAGCCATGATGAGAAAGTACTGGACATACCACATCCTGTTTCCAGCGGTCACCGGCGGTGGGCCATCGCTGTATAGTGAATGAAGGGCTGGCATGAACTTTTGCTCGTCAAATAGGTGGTAAGTTTGGACGATGTGAAACTTGACCGTGTTGGTGAGATAAAGGGCATAGTTCAGAGAAGGCAGGCTTTCGATATTCACAGCGAGATCAGTCTGCTTCATACTCGGTAGCTCAATGTTAAAAGCAACACCATCATGATTTAGTGGTACTTCAGGGGAGATTTCCTGACCGACATACTGGAACTGCATTAGCATTAAAAAGTATTCGGTGTAGATCAAGGTACGTCTCTGATCATGCCCATCACATTATGGCTATATGCCCATGTAGAAGAGGGACCAAGAAACCCTTTGCAGAATTAGTCATCGAAATTAGCCGGGATGTCGGTGTAGCGTACGTTTCCTGCCTTGATGGTCTACGACATACTTGGACGAGGGCGTCAGTAGAGGATTAGTCATATGTGGTAGGCCATCATCGACAGTCGTTCTCTGGTCAGGCTCAGTAGCCAATGCATCTTCAGCAGGCTTGTCAGGCATTATTTCAGGTCAAACAGAGAAGATTCTCACTTGTGCTGGTATCCGCCGAGCTTTTGTTCCTCTTTTGTTTCTGCGCCTCATCCCAATCTTCTGCTTTTCGCTTCAAAGCATTGAGCAAGCTACAAGCAGTCTCAGCATAGCCACTTTTGCAAGAGTAGGAACAGACACTTACTTCTCTGACACGACAACCTTGCGATCTTCCTGCTCAAACACACAGTCTGTTGAGCGACGCGTACAATTCGCGCAGGGACACGTTCCTGAGCAACGAACTTTTCGCTCTCGGCATTGAACACATCTTTGGAGGTTTAATACATTAGCGATTGACTCACTGCTGTTGGCTAGGTAGGATTGATCAATGAAGTGAGAGCTACTCACGCGACGGTCTTGTTGCGCTTCCCCAACGGTGGAGGCGTAGATTGCGTGTTCATTCCAACGTCTGTATCGTATATCGTTATTTCTTTGCTTAGTCTCTGTATTTCATCTTCTGCGGTGTAAAGTGATTAAGTATTATTTATATGTCACGTCTCGGATATGGGCGACGGAAGCAAAAGTCGATATAGAAGATAAGTCGAAGTAGGCTACTGTTAGTACAAAGGCTAAAAGCGGTCGGACTATTATATAAGGTAGTCAGGCCCCGACGATATTGTGTCTTACCCTGTATCAGAGAAGTTTGTTTTATGTAGGGGCTAATAGGTCGCTTGCCTATAATAATGCAGGGAAATAATGTTCACTTTAATAATACTGAGTACGCTTATGTCAATCTTCCTACTGACTACCTCTGTCCCAATTGTCTGCGGCATGCTAAGAGCGCAAGGTCATGATTCGTAGGATAATCCTCGGTGACATTGTAAACAAGATTTCGGAAACCAAGTGATCGGTTTCGGAATTAGGACTAACCGATTATGAAATGTTTATATACTCCGACGTCCTACATCATCTATGACGTGGTAGAGACTTAGACATTCCGCAAACAGGCGTTCCTAGTCTTGGGAGGCCTACCATGACAAATTCCCCACTTCATCTCGACAGTATATTTAGAAATAACCTAACCGTCCTGTACACATACGATACTTCTCCCAATCGAACAACTTTGAGGCCTTTACCTAATTGCACTCTTCACTCTGTCTATCAATTGTTGTACTGACGACTACAAGTTCGACTTTCTGGACGATCCAAAATGGCTCCAGTTATCGACACTCAACTAAACGAAGGGGTGATATATGAAGCGACAAAGGATATTTTCACAGGTCAACACGCTGAAATGCGAGATCGTGGGGCCGTCAGAGCGTTGATTAATCATCAGTCACGAACGGGGACCTTGATGCTGCGAGTAGTGAATAAACACGGCTTCGACGCTGTATCTGAAGCAGTATTGAAGCTTCTTTCGGACAAGGTTTATGAGTCGAAAGTGATTGCTTGCCAACGCTTTCCAGATCTCTTTAAACCTTCGACGCCTCAGAGTGCTCCCAGAACGGAATTAGGAGGAGCAGTGACCACAACGGAGCAGGCTATGCTCAACGGCATTAAAGAACCAGAGCTAGATGATACCCAGGATGCTCGCGAGCCACAAGAGCAGCCCACAGCAATAAATGGTACGTCTTGTCCATTGACGGTTACTTACACTTATTGATAGTGGTCAGACGCTATCAATAGCTCCGCAAGTGACATTAGTGGCAGTTCATCGTTATTCTCAATTCATCTGCCGTTTCCTACAGAGCATGTGCTTATGGAGAAGCTACAGAAAACCCTAGAACTCGCATGTTATCAGTACGGAATGAGAGAACTCCAAAGTACCATGCAAAAGCGCGACTGGGATTGTCCCGAGGCAGCAGAGCTTAATCAGTGGACAGAGCTTCTGGGGCAAAAGGGAAACCTGAAACAGGAGGGGTTCAGCAAACCACTAAAGGAACTACTGCAATCAATTGCACAAATCAGACATACAGCTGTTCATCGTGTCCGTACTGATTCCTCGGGACTACAACGCTTTCTTGCAGATGCAGAAGAACTTGCTAGAGCTCTAGGAGACGACATATGCACAGAAACTATCTCGAAACTCCGCTTGGATACTCAGTCAACAATTACAGAGCTCAGGGAAAACAAACAATGTCTAAAGATGCAGCTGGACGAGGCCCAAGAAGAGATATCAAAGCGGCGTACCGAACTTGATCAGCAAGAGCAGGAAAATTTGCGCCACATGGAAAGCGAGGATAAAAGGTACTGTGCTCTGGCGGGCGAAATGCTACAAAAAGCTCTTAATCTCATCGGAAGCCTTGCGATAGCACCGGAGACCGGGCATGCGGTCTTGAATGGCGACAGAGACGTTGTTTCTAATGATGGTCACTTGGGTCACGAAGAGCATTTCGAAGACTGCGTTGAGTCGCTACATTGAGTCATAATGGTCAAGTAGAATATTAAGAGCTCTATAAAGTATATCTGAAACCTTCTTGGCCCTCGCATAGGTACTTCCCTTGATCAGCCTGTCTGTTATTATGACGGAGCATAAGCATCGTTAACGCGGCGACTACAACGGCAGCCACGTTAATAGCCATAACAGCCACGAGTCCAGGAATGTAGTTTGGTGCATCTTGTTGACCTCAACTGCTGTTAGCTGTGATATGTCATGCGAAGAGTCACCAACTTACGGAACACCATGCTGGAATAAATCCCACCAACACCACTCATGCTGATAAGGAAGCCAGTGGATACAGCACGTCTAGCATCACCTACAATATTGTTGGCCTGCCATGCAAGGGTCGTCACCACCAGACCGTTAGCACCAGCGACACCGAGAAATGTGCCGATGTAGCGAGGTGTTGGCGAATCGAGAAATCCAGTCATGCATAGCCCAATGATGCCAATCAGGCCTTGAAAGATGACGAACGGACCTCGCAGTCTCGTCTTATCAGCAAGCCACGAGATGCTCATTGCTTCAACGACAGCAAACAGTGCTGGAGGGGTACTTAAAATAAACGAAAGCTCAAGCGAGTACCCAAGGCCGCCTCGCAGGATAATAGGTAGGAAGAACAGAAAAGCATAGACTCCAACGGCACCGGCCATGTACATAAGCGAATATGCCCAGGGCTTCCAGTCAGCAGCTGTCTGCCCAATGATCTTCAAAGTAACTTTCTCTCGTTCTTCGGGGCCACGATCTTGGGCTAGGCGTTCTTTGACGAAGGCGCGTTCTTCGGGGGTGAGGAATGTGTTTTTATCGGAGTCGGGAAAGTCGACGATGATGAACCATGAGCCGATGCCAGCGACGACTGTGATGGCACCTTCAACGATGAAGATCCACCGCCATCTGGGATTATCAGCATTAGTAGCTATAGAGGTGATGAAGAATACTTACCCTTTGTAATGATGTGTCTTGGAGATCTGAATGAGGCCATATGCGAGGATGTTGGCGAAAGCGGATAGCGCAGAAGCAGTCAAGAAGAAGCCCGCCATCCTCTTTTGTACCTCATAGCGCTTATACCAGGATGATACAAGATACACACAGCCTGAGTACCGATCAGTATGTTGTCCACCTCAAAGTCGGGACAAGTGGTGACTACCTGGGAAGAAACCAGCCTCGAAAATACCCAGAAGGGCTCTCAGCACAGCAAGTCCCGCCCAGTTGTTGAGAAAGCCGATGCCAAGCGACACCAAGCCCCAGGCGAAGGCTAGAAAGGCCAGCCAGTTCGCTGCACCAAGATTGTGAATGAAGGCATTGCTGGGGATCTCAAAAAGGATGTATCCGATGAAGAAGACCATCAAGACGATAGACACGCGGTTACCCACGGCGAGGTCGAGGTCTTCGTCCATGCCAGAGATGCGAGCGACAGCGACGTTGGAGCGATCGACGAGAGCGATTGTGTAAAGACATCCGAGGATAGGTAGGAGTCGAGTGTCAATCTTGCGAAGAACGCGCTTCTCGAACTTCGCATCGTGAGCTGACTGGACATTGTCCTTAGTTTCAATCTGTTTTAGGTCATGTTTTTCCTCATGAGTCATATAAATCTCTGGGTGAGCCGTGTTGTTGGTCATTGCGAGGGTGAGCGAGCAGAAATGAGCTCATGCTGGTGTCAAATCCGCGGAAGTCTGGGGTTACTTTTATAGACGTGTATTCTGGGTCAATATCGTCTCATTTGGTAGCTTTCTAGTTTGAGAAGGGAAAGGTGAAGGATGGAGGATATACAAGGCTAACCATAAGCGATGACGGGGCTGACCATCGGCTATGGTGATTCCCGCGATCATCTCTGCGCAAACAAACAGGTCGTTTAAGCTTGAATCGATTTAGCGTGATGAATATGCGGGGTAACTAGGCTGTATCCTTTACTCCAGGCCCACTGTTGTGGCACGTCCCGGATTTTACCAGGCGGGGAAGAGGCGGGATGTAGTTTCTGAAGTGTTATGCGCAGTTACGCATCATAGTTGGGTGCAATGGATCAAGGAAGTCCTTCACAGCGAGCCAGGAGAACGCCCAACCATGGCAGGAAGAGAGGAACGGCGTGTGAGCGTTGCAATCGGCGAAGAACAAAGTGTGATGGATCGGTCATTGGTGTACCGTGTTCAGCTTGCAAAAAGAGTGGCCATGATGAGCAGTGTGCACTCATCCAATCTAGGCGTCGAAGGTAGGACCCTAGCATTATGCATTGGAGTGGGACTGATCTCCGTCGTGCAGAGGACCCGATGGAAGATACACGCTATTACCAGAAGTTGAATCTCATCGCAACTTAGACAGCCCCAGCTTTGCCCCGAACAACGACGACGAATCTATGGGGCTCAACAATGAAGATCCGTCGGCACACAGAGAGCAGACTAACAGGTCGATGCAACAATCAAGTGAATTGCCCAGCATAAGGTCTTCGTCTGATCAGCATGCGAGTCCAAATGTCCAACCAAGCGTTGTCGGTGAAAGTTGGTACGCTTCTTATGTCATGAGAGGTTACACGCCCGGTCACAACAGTGTTCACCGCCCAATCGGCGTGTGTAACGAGACTGTTCAGAGTGTAACCCGCGACACGACAAGAGAGAGCGTCTGCAGTCGGCCATACTTGCCTCGTGAGAAGACGAGCCTCTCGGACCTCCCATCACCAGACTTAGTAGATCGTCTGATCAAGGTCTACTTCGACAGATTCCATGTCTTCTGTCCAATTCTCAGCAGAAAGTACTTCCTCACGTCCCTCGAAGATGGGACAATGTCCGGTACCCGACTCCGAAGTGTTCTCTTTGTGGCATCGTTGCACTGTGACCCAGAGGTACTGCATCTCATGGGGTACAGTACTCGATGGGATGCTAAAAACGCTCTGTACAACAAAGCTAGCACAGCGTTTGATGCGGATCGAGAATCAAGTCGTACACATAAAATTCTGTCGTCGTACCTGCTTCACAACTGGTTCGGAAGTCCGACGGCTTATCGCGATTGCCACTGGTGGCTTGCAGCAGCGATACGATCCGCGCAGTGTACTGGGTATCACAGGAGCACAAGAAATAGCAGGATGTTGCCTGAGGAGAGGTCACGGTGGAAGCGCATCTGGTGGTGTCTTTATGTGAGTACGAACCTCCCTCGTGATAGAAAGCCTCAATTAACATATTAGGTATATCCACCGGGACACCGATGGTGATCAACGACGAAGATCATGATGTGGAAGAACTTATCCAGGGAGACTTTACGGAAGAAGCTCCCGAGACTGTCCAGTATATTATATCGCAGGTCAAGTTGAGTAAAGCTGGTAAGATGTTCCGTTCCCCCAAGCATGATTGTTGGCCGGGTGAGATACTAACGGAACAGTGGCTCGACTGTACTTCTCCCATTGCTCACCGTCGCGTCTGTCTCTCTGTAAAGAAGCTCATGTTCTCCATGAAGCCATCAGAGATGTTCAGTCGACACTACAAGCCTGGTATGAGTCGTCTCAGGGCTTGAGCTTCTCCAACGGTAACCATCATTTAAGTTTGACACTGAAAGTCTGCTACCAGTACGTATGGAGTCTTTTGTTGGTCAGATACGAAAGCTGATTCGTTAGTTACTACTTGATAAACCTCTCTCAGAGGCTGCAAAGGCATCGTAACGCATCAAAGGAGATCAAGCCGCTTCTTGACGCAGCAGCCCAAATATTTAATCTGGTAGAGAACTCTCTCCTTTTCTGGACGCCGGAGCATTTCCCTATGATATAGTGAGTGGCGAGTATGATATTCGTGACAGGAAGCTGACATGCATGCAGCGTATCTGCTCTTTTCTCCGCGATGATGGCCTTGGCGGTAGAAGTCAAAACATCGGCGCCTAAAAGCAATCAGATATTTATCAAGATCCAAGCCGGATTACTGGCCCTCAAGCAGTTTAAGTCAGTGTATATCCTGGTGCGGTAGATCAGGAACTTCTTCATAGATATTCTAAACCGCCCAGCTCCTTTGGATGCGGTAGAAACGCAAAGACTAGATCCAAACCTACATAGCGACGACACGACTGGCAGGGGCACAGGTACAGAGACAATGAACGGCACCGATAAGATCTCAACAATTACAGCATCAGTTGGCCAGGCTACACATGACGCGACAAATTTTAAAGACTCCAATTTTATATTTAAACAAAGTTCGGGATTCGAGGGAGGCGGCTTTTGGCCAACACCTGGCAAACGGTGTCTTTTCGGGCGTTCAGTCAAGTAACGATATAGAGTTTCCCATCCAGACTCGTTTCAGTACCAGGCGATATACTTTCTAGCCAATTTAGGCATAGCAAGTACAGATCCTATAGATTAATAAGGATATTGCGAGGGGGTTTCGTCGTAATTTTGGCATATAGCGTCTTCATACTTAGCTAGAGATCCAGAGCTCCATATTAGCATACTATCAAGAGTGATTGATGTTTTGAGGTGCGGGGGATCCGAGGACCTATGATTTGGCTAGAACCAATAGTCTGTTCTGCTACTCCAAGAATGGAAATTAGTCCACTGGGAATGGGCTTGTCCATAGCCGAATACTGATAGTCTGATCTGCAGTCCATAGCCGATGGTACCGTCCCCCGAGAGTGACTTGGAAACTATACAGCCGATGAGAGAGGAATCAAGAAGGTGGAGAAGAGAATTTAAAATAATGATTGATTGCAATTAGTTTGTTCTTTGTTTGTTAGACCTCAATTACCTCTCTTTTTCTCCAAGACTCGCTGTGATTTACCAAAGGTTCTATGTCGGCTATACACAAATCTCTACGGCGAGTACACATTGGGTCTCGACCAACGCTTTCCTGGACTCGAATGCCAGCCCGTTTCTTTCGGTCAGCTTCGAACACACCAAAAGCACCATTGTCAAGATCATCGCAATGGCAAACAAGTAGCAGAGGCAAGTCCTTCATCACGTCGATAGGTCTGAAACTAACTTGACCTAGGGGTATACATACTGGGGTTGGTGGCATTAGGAGTCGGCATGGCTGGAGCGCTCAGTATTAGCAGCCAACCAACCAAGACACATTTATCATCGACACAAGCATTGATAGATACTCCTGAGATTCAGCATGACTTGTCGACATCAAACATTCAAGGTGCTTGTAAAGATTTCGCCGCTATCTTAGGTCCAGAGAACGTTTCAGCAGAACGTAGCGATCTCGTTACCCATTCTGGCTCCGACTATCAGTCGTATGCCTGGACTGAAGAGTCAGCCATCTTGTCACAAGTCATCCTCTACCCTGAGACTACAGAACAGGTTTCAGAACTTATGAAAGTATGCTTCCGACGTCGGCTGCCAGTCACGCCGTACTCGGGAGGCACGTCGATCGAAGGCCAGTACATACCTCATCTACGGGGCATATGCATTGACTTTGGTCGAATGAGCAATATATTGGAGCTCAACAAGTATGATCTCGACTGCGTTGTGCAGCCTGGGATTGGCTGGATGGACCTCAACGAGGAGTTGGCAGCCCATGGTCTGTTCTTCCCCCCAGACCCTGGTCCGGGCGCCATGATTGGAGGAATGGGTGGCACAGGGTGCTCTGGAACAAACGCAGCGGCATACAGAACTATGAAAGACTGGGTCCTATCACTGACCGTCGTACTCGCGGATGGAGCAATCATCAAGACTCGCCAACGTGCCAGAAAGTCAAGCGCAGGCTACGACCTGACAAGGACCTTTGTCGGCAGCGAGGGGACCCTTGGCCTCGTCACCGAAGCTACGCTGAAGCTGGCAGTTAAGCCACCCTGTGAGGCCGTAGCCGTATGCACATTTCCAACGCTACGAGACGCAGCCTCGGCAGTTCGAGAAGTGCTGTCCAATGGCATCCAAGTTGCCGCTGTTGAGATCCTTGACGAAGTACAGATGAAAAGCATCAATGATTCTGCTTTGACGAGGCTGAAGTGGAAAGAAGAGCCAACTCTCTTCTTCAAGTTCACAGGGAGCGATGACTTCATGGTGGAACACCTTGCCAAGCAAGTTGGAAATATCACGAAGCAAAACGGCAGTACGGCATACACATTCGCGTCCGACGAGACTGAACGAAATGAATTATGGTCGGCAAGGAAGAATGCACTGTGGAGCATGCTCGCCATGCGAAAGTCACCAACTGACAAAGTATGGACTACTGATGTAGCTGTTCCTCTAAGCAGACTTCCTGATATCATAGAGTTTGCCAAAGCCGATATCGAGAAATCAGGTTTACTTGGCTCAATTGTTGGGCGCGTTGGCGACGGGAACTTCCATACTCTTTTACTAATCCCCGAGGACAAGCACCATATCGCGGAAGATGTTGTTCACCGAATGGTCGATAAAGCTAATGAGATGAAAGGTACAGCGACGGGGGAACATGACGTCGTACTTGTGAAGAGGGACTATTTGTAGAAGGAGCTCGGTAAAGAAACTGTCGACGCGATGCGATCGGTAAGTGATCTGAGCTGTCGAGGGTGATGTAATACTGACTCGATGGCATAGGTGAAGAATGCATTTGACCCATTGTGTATTCTGAATTGCGACAAGGTGATACGTATGAGGGCAGCTTAAGTTGGAACAAGATATTATAGTCTTATAGGACAGAGCAAGACACTTTATAGAAGAGCATAAAGTGAGAGTAGATCCAGAGCCTCAGCTCCAAAGGCGCCGCGACAAACGGTGATATAAATGGCCACATCGAGTGTTCATATTTCTAATTCCATGTGCCAACAATCAACGCGCTCTGACCTTTGGGGCCCGGGCAAGCAACCTCACTCAGGCTTCTGGCCATACACATAGCGCATGGTGATATAACTGTGAACCTTGCGATTACGCAAGGCCTGCCGCATCTGCATAAGGAACAGTTGATATTCATCCTTTGGCCACTGGAGAACCTCGTTCCACAAGAGATATGAGTATCCTTTCGCTATAAATCAGTCCTGATTGCATTGAAACAAAGAGCAGCGAACGAACCTTCGAGATCGTTTTCCAACGTCTGTTGAACAAAGCGGCCAATCTCAGCCATTGCAGGGTCCTTCGGCCAGCCTCCGATAGGGATCTGAATTACAGATGTCAGGATCGATGTTAGCTAGTTGTTGGATGACGGTGTATCGTACCTTGTAATCGACTATCTTAAGATTGGAAAACCCAGCCTTCTTCAGCCCTTCAACCTGAAGGTCGCTAACAAAGAAGTCTCGACCCAGGGCCTTACCGCCCTCTTCATACATTTTATTACATGTCTCCCAAACTGGCTCCAAATCTGCAGTGCCATCATCGCTTCGAATACGAACGTCAGCCTCTGCTGACTCGATCCAACCCCCGGGGCTGCAGCATCGATAGGCTTCCGCAAAGAGATGATACCAATCTGGAATGGCTCCGAAGAGATAACGAATATGGATAAAATTGAAGTGGTCGTTTTCCCAGGTCCACGCCTCGTTAGCATCATCGATTTCGAAGCGCACGTTTGGTGGGACCCAGCTCGGCTGGCAAGGTGAGAGATCGGTGCCTACGACATTGGCACTTGGGTATTGGTCGCCGATGTCACTGAGTAGGCTCATTAACAAATAATCACGAGGCGATAATCCAGAAGTCATACATTGCCCAGATACCTAACGATCGGTCAGTAAATCCATCATGAAATTTAGGACGACGTACCGCTTCCAGTTCCAACATCCAGAACATTCTGGTACATAACAATTATCAGCATCAAGTGAAACACAAACGCCAGATCCTCACCTGGACATCTTTTTCGATTGGCGCAAGAAAGAGTTTCCCATCCAAAAGGAGGGTAAGCCAGTGATGACTATCAAAAGATCAGCAGCACAAGATGAACTGGATCGCGGGGACGCACGTAATATCAATGGATTCCAGCTGCTGGTCATCATTAGGAAACAGATAGTCGTTTGCGAACTTGGAAGCATGGTATGTACGGCCTTGGATGCGACGATACTCTAAAATGCTTTCCGACACAGAAGTTGTAGAACTTCCACTGGGGAGCTTGTTAGCTCTAGGGGTATGCGATGGAACTTTCAACATACGCGATCGAACCAAGGGACGAATCGGCCTCATTCTGAGACTACATCAACTGCCATTCTTGAGACTGGGGTATCTTTTGTTTACTTCTTCATGATCAGCTGGTATCAATTGCGGAGATGGTGTTGATTTCGCCGAGGACGGCGCCTTGGGTGATGAGCTCGATGTTGATGGCATCATCAAAATTTGTCAGTGTTGTGGAAATTCTGGAAGTGGAGAAGAAGGATAAAATGCCAGAAATGTCTCATAACGGGGGCTCAAGGTATTTATCCGAGCCGTTGGGTGTTGGGTGTTGGTTGTCAGGTCAGGGTCATACCAAGGTTGCAACTGGTGGGGATGATCTGATTACATGATGCCGGGGCGTAGTACATCCTTGATTTGTAAATAAACACAAAGAGAAGCGGTTAGATTGTTTATTTCTCAGACACGGCTTATAAATCTATGTATCTTAAAACTATCTTAGATTTTACTTAACACGTCATATGAAGTATGGAGGCATAAATATAAACAGAAACACTCACGTGCAGAACTACGAGAGTGAGTTTATGTACATGAACTCACGCCTCAAAACTGCATTATTACAACCCCTACCGAGCCTATCAAATCATTCTCACGTCCCTGTCATCTTTTGCGACGAATAGAACTTGCCCGCAGATATTAGCTCTGCCGCTGGCTTAATATTGCAATATCCAGCATATAGTTTTCCAGTAATATTATGTTATCAGCGATTGAGACTTATGCAGAGGACTTGAGTCGACTTTTTTCAATTGTTGGTCACGATGGGAACGGCAATGTCCACACCTACTACTATTCCATCAGGAGAACCGTCATATAAGTGAAGTTATTATCCTCCTGATACTTAATCAAGCTATTGAGACTAGGGTTGTAGTCACGGGCGAGACTGAACGTATTTCAGTACTATGTTAGAATAAAAACTGCAATTAAAGAGTGTGAAGTCCAAAAGGGACTATCTCCAAGTCTGTATAGGAAGAACATTCTCCTGCTTCAAATAGCTTCACACAACAAAACCCAGACCTTTCCTTCACGCAATAAAAGTCGGGATACATCACTCTGGAAGATTGCGATGCTTTTTGTATCAGAGCCGTGGAGGTAATAGCCTTCTTCTCCAAGTGTAACTCATGATCGCCATCTGTTCGCTCTCGGTATGCGTTGTTGGGTCTAACCAACATACTTGTGCCGAGCTTCCGATGGAACCAACAGCATGGAGCCTTGACCTCTTTAAACCAGTGGCTGAGAGCTTAAATCAGCAGAGAGAACTTAGTGAACCAATGACAGTGCAACCAACACCCACGTACAAGGAGCTCTGATAATTATCATCACCAGTACCAGCAATTCAAACGCGTAAGGTGGTATCATGAGCTTTAAACCGCCGGTAAGACCCTGACGGTTAGCGCAGGATGGTGAAAGGAACTTGGGGACAAGTGTGGCCTATAAGGTTAAGCTTTATGCTGAGAACACAGGTGATGAATGAGACAGGGGCTAAAAATGCCGCAACTTTATGTAATATGTTCTGGGCTGCAATGGGAAGTATCGTAGCGATTGTGCAACAAGTTTGTGATTCCTGAATAGCAAAGCATCCATATGGCTAGTTAGAGATCCAATTGAGGGACGATGACAAACGGGGTTTTTGACAGCCAATACAACATTTATCACACAATTACTTGCCAGGATCCTCTATATTGCCATCATTCGAATCTTCTTTCACCTCATATGCCTTGAGGCCATCAGGTATATCCTCGTACTTAACGTCATCCTGATCAAAGAGCGCATATAGTTTGTCCGTAACCTCTTGTGGCACTCCATAGTTGATATGAAAGCGATGCCCATCGATGGAGACAATGTCAGGCTCAACATCTTTCAATGGTGCATGTTCTTCCAATGCGCGCTGGGCCAGCTTCTTAGCTTCAGTACTTTCCGACATAATCAAAATGATGGAGGTCTAATACTCTTCTATCGTAAGGTCAATGAAGAATTCCAACGGGTGCATTTTAGGGCTTACCGATACTGTCGCTCGAGAGGAATTATTGGCTGGGTGGAGAACTCGGCAGTGTAACTTCTCAAATCAAATGTGCTGGGAGAGCGGGCGATATATACAGGGGGCACAGCTGATTAATGATTGAAAGGGCTAGCATTCGCTACATCGCTGTCCACTAAGAAGCGTTTACAGCACATCCAACCACTACGGGAGCCGTAAAGCAAGGCCATAACGTGCTGCGCACATGACACTGTGCTAAAAACATAGCGCCCGCAGTCAAGGGACAACGAGGCGGGCGGGTGGGGTTAAACATGCATGAGACAGTGCTTGAGCAAGCAGGCTTGTAGTCTACGCCAGATATGTTTTCGTTCAGATAACCCGAAAGCTCTGAACATCCTTCAGCGACCTACCTGCCATTGACACGGCACGTCGACATGAAATCGGTCGTTAAAAGCCACGAGGAAAGGTTCCCTAACAGTTTAGATTAATCAGTCCTGTGAAACTATGCCCAAAAGCGGTAAGAGCCTCCTAAAGATACGGAATAGCTTCCTCAAGGCACAACCTTTTAGGCCCATACACATGAAGCTATTGTCTTGGCAGCCTGATGTATATATGTATATATATATCCTGGCTTGCGGATTGGCGCCTCTTCGTGACTTGCATTCAGAGCGGGCGAATGCTCGGACCGTCTCCTATAAGCGACTTATTTCCATTGGTTTAACAATGGGCCTGAATGCGGGGCGATTTAGGAGTTTCTTAGTGATATTCCGCGACAGTGAGTTTTGGACAGTGTATATAGTACTCGACGCATGGCAATACCGCTTTGGCACCATCTGCTGGCGGCCTAGACTTTCATCATTGAGTAATTCAGCACGTCTGTAAAGACAGCTCAGCGCATATTGTGCCCCTCACGAGAATATTTGACAATATGAGATATTCTACATTTACCTTGCTCACCTATATTGCTTCTAGTGTTTTATCTGTTTTCGGGACAAAAACCACTATGTCAAACAGGCGAGGTATGCATATATCCACGCCACCGTGCGAGTAAGGACCTAACTAAATATATATAGAGCTTGTAAAATTTAAGTTTAATACCCTACCTCTACCCTCTTTAAGGGAACTTAATATAATTTTAACTATATTTATTTATACTATATATAACTTTATTAGTAGCTATATCTAGAAAATTAAGCTTTTATATTAAAGACTATCTGCTTATCTTAAAAGCTAGATATAATTACCTATTTCTTTATATTACTATATACTTAATAAGTAAGCTTTATAGCTATAGCTTATTACTTTTTAAGCTTACTAAAAAGGTCTTATTAAAGGGACCTTTTATTTTATCTTTAAC